GGTGGTTATGGGGCATTTATGGGGTCTGGGGGGCAGTTATGGGGGAGTATTGGGTTGTGGGGGGCAGTTCTGGGGTCTGGGGGGCAGATATGAGGTGAATTACATGCAGTAAGCATGCAAATGATATGCAAATAAGACTGGATGGTGCTTACGCTCCAGGATGACCGAGGTGGGGCACTAATGAGATGCTAATGAGATGTTGATGGCATGCGAATCGTATGGCGTGGCAAACTATCATTGGGGTCATCGGAACTAGGTGTCGATTCATATGCAAATGAGATGCAAAATAATGAGGGGGAGGAGCATAGCGGGGCTTGATTGAGGTTGGGGGGAAGAGGGAGGAGAGGTTTCACAGGGGGTGAGTCGAGTGGCCGTGGGGCGCGATTTGGGATACAAATGGGATGTAAATGAGATGCAAATGATATGCAAATGAGGCTTAATTACCGCAGGAAGGCACAGGAGAGCCAGAAGGAGATGAAGCTGCTGCTGGATATGTACAAATCTGCCCCCAAGGAGCAGCGGGACAAAGTGCAGCTGATGGCGGCCGAGCGCAAGAGCAAGGCGGAGGTATGCAAATTTAAGCAAATGAGGGAGCGGGCTTCGGCGGAATTTACTCCAATTTCCCCGGATTTCCCCTTAAATCCCCCCAAATTTCTGCAATTTGGGGCTGATTTCTCCTATTTCCCGTTGAATTTCTACAAGATTTCCACTTTTTTTCAACGAAGTCCCCAAATATTCCTAATTTTCCTCAAATTTTCCTCAATTCCCCTCAAATTTTCCCAATTTCCCTCAAATTTTCCTGATTTCCCCCAATTTTTGCCCATTTTTCCCCTAATTTCCCCCAGCTTTCCCCCAAATTTCCCCAGATTTCCCCAATGCTCCCCAAAATTCTCAAAATATTCCTGATTTCCTACAAATTTTTCCAATTTTTCCCCAAATATTCTAAATGTCCCACAGAATTTCCCTGATTTTCCTCAATTTTCTCCCAATTCTCAATGATTTTTCCTATTTCTCCCAAATTTTCCTCCAATTTCCCAATTTTCCCCCAAATTCACCAAATATTCTCAATTTCCTCCAATTTTTTCCCTATTTCTCCCATTTTTTTCCACAATTTCCCTCAAATTTCCTCCAAATTTCCCCAAATATTCCCAGTTCCCCCTAATTTTTTTCAATTTCCCCTGGAAATTCCCCATTTCCCCAAATTTCACCTTAATTTCCCCCAAATTGCAAATAAATTTCCTCAGAACTTCCCTAAATTTTTCCAAGTTTCCCCAAATTTTCCCAAAATTCCTTGAATTTTCACAAAATTCCCCAAATTTCATTACATTCCTCAATTTTTCCAAAATTTCCCCAATTTTCACCAAATTTTCCAAAAATTTTACCCATTTTCCATTCAATTTCTCCCAACTTCCCCATTTTTTCCCCAATTTTCAGCAATTTTTCCCAAATTCCCCCAGTTTTCCCCCAAAGTCCCCAAATATTCTCTATTTCCCTCAAATTTTCTACCATTTTCCCCCAAATTTATCCAAATTTCCTCAATGTCTCCCAAAATTCTCAAAGTATTTCTAATTTACCCCAATTTTCCCCCCAATATTCCCCAAATATTCCTGATTTCCCTCAATTTTTCCCCACTTACCTCAATTTCCCCCCCTTTTTACCCGTTTCTCCCAATTTCCCCCCAAATTTATCCGAGTTTTCTCCAAATTTTTCCAATGGCCCCCAAAATTCCCAAAATATTCCTGATTTCTTCCAATTTTTTTTACCAAATTTCCCCAATTTCCCACATTTCCCCAATTTTCCTCAAATTTCCCACAATTTCCCCCAATTGCCTTAATTTTTCCCCAAATTCCCCAAATTCCTCCAAATTTTCCCAAATTTCAATTTTCCCCCAAATTCATTTTCCTTAATTTTTGCCAAATTCCCCCAAATTTCCCCAATTTTTACGAAATACCCTCAGTCCCCTTAAAGTTCCACAATTTCCCCTGAATTCCCCCAAATTTCCTTAAATTTTCCAGTTTCCCAAATTCCCCACAAACTCCCTATATTTTCCCCAAATTCCTCCAAATTTGCCCAAATTTTCCCCAAATTCCACAAATTTTCTCCAAATTCTCCAAAAATTTTCCCAAATTTGCCCCAAATTCCCAAAATTTTTTCCAAATTTTCAAAAAATGTTCCAAAAAAATTCTCAAATTTCTCCAAATTTGCCCAGATTTTCCCCAAATTTTCTCCAAATTCTCCAAAAGTTTTCCAAAATTTTCCCCAAATTCCTCAAAATTCCCCCCAAATTTGCTCCAAATTCCCCCAAAATTTCCCAAATTCCTCCAAATTTTCTCCAAATTTTCCAAAATCTCCCCAAATTCCTCCAAGTTTCCCCAAATTTGCTCCAAATTCCCCCAAATTTTCCCCAAATTCACCCAAAATTTCCCCAAATTCCCCCAATGTTTCCCCAAATTTTCCCAAATTTCACCCCAATTTTTTTTTTGGCTGATTACTATTAATTACTGATTATTAATTAATTAACAAACAGGTGGAGGCGTTGATCATTAATTAATTACCAAGGTTTGTTAACAAGCAGGCGGAGTTGCTGATAGTGATTAATTACCACGGCTCATTAATGAGCAGAAAAATGATTTATTAACTGATGGCTGAGGTTAATTAATTAATTAATGAGGAGGCAGAGGAGTTGATTATTGTATGAATTAATGAGAAGTGTTAACGATGATGAATTAATTAGTGAGGGCTATTAATGAGGATTAGTAATTACTAATGAGTTTTTAATGAATTAACGAGCAGGCGGAGGAGCAGGTTATGAATTACTGAGGAGTATGAATTAATTGGGGTTATTAATTATGAAGGCTCACTAATTTAGTGAGATTTACTTATTAATCAGGATTATTAACTAGTTAATAAGGATTATTCATTAAGTAGCGTTACAAATTAATTTATTATTAAGGAATTAACAGGAGAATATGAATGAATAATTGAGAGATTAATTAACTAACGGGGGTTACAAATTACTGAGGCTTATTAATTAATTTATGAGGGCTATGCATTCATTATTGATGAATTAGGGAGAGGTTATGAGTTAATTAATGAGAAACATTAATTTATGAGGGTTATCCATTCATTATTGATGAATTAAGGAGAGGTTATGAGTTAATTATTGGGAGATACTAATTAATGAGGGCTACTCAGTAATTAATACGGTTATTAACTAATTCATTATTAATTAATTAACGAGCAGGCAGAGAAGCAGGTGATGAAGGCTTTTAATTCCTGAGGGCTCCCAATGAGGGCCGTGAAGGAAGGAGGGATTACTAACGAATTAAGGAGACTAATGAAGGAATTAATGAGGGTAATTAAGCAACTAAGGAGACTAATGAAGGAATTAATGAGGCTAATTAACGAGCGGATGCTGAAGGCTATTAATTCCTGAAGGCTCCCACTGAGGGCAATAAAGGAAAGAAGGAGAGGGGAGGGGAGGATTATTAACGAATTAAGGAGGGTAATTAAGGAATTAAGGAGGGTAATTAAGGAATTAACGAGGCTAATTAACGAGCAGAAGCAGAGGAGCAAGTGATGAAGGCTGTAAATCCCTGAGGGCCCCCAACGAGGGCCGTGAAGGAAGGCGTGGAGGGGGGGGGGGGGGGTTACCACCAAATTAAGGAGGATAATTAAGGAATTAATGAGGGTAATTAAGCAATTAACGAGCAGGCCGAGGAGCTGCGGTGCCGGGTGAGGGAATTGGAGGAGAGGGAGAGGAAGGAGAGCAAAAAGCTGGCGGACGAGGAGGCGCTGAGGAGGCTGAGAGCGGCTGAGGAGAGCATCGAGGGGCTGCAGAGGAGGCTGCAGGCCACCAAGCAGGTGGGCAATTAATTAGGCGTTAATT